AGAGTTGAACCCAAAATCCCGACCCAGAAACTGCACGAGCGCCTAACTGAATCGAAAAACCACGGGCCGGCCCAACCCTCGTCCAGACGAACAAACCCCACCGTCACCCGGAGAAAACAAACCCCAGCCGGAGAAAACAAACCATCATTTATTCACTTATTGTTCCTATATTAGCTCTACAAAATTAATTAATTAATATCTTTAAACCATTAAATATTAATTTCATAATTAAGAATCACATTGATAAAGAGCTAACCCGTTCATTCAAACTAATACAAGAATTAACTACCACATGCAAATTAAAGAATGAGTAGTTGATAACCATTAGATTTATTTTAAATGAGTTTTAATAAATTCAAACTCTTGTAGGATGATAAGATAAGTACAATTTAGTTAAGTAGTGGAAATATTTCGTTGGTAACCATTAGATTATGTGCAATTTAGATAAGTGCAATTTAGTGTTCCAACATTATCTCTACACCATTAATTATATATTCAGAATTTCATAATTAATTAATTATTTTCGGTCCAATATTTACAGAAATTTATTGGTGGAGAGATTGAGGCTTGCATTATCTCTCTAATTTTTTTATTTTTTTTTTATTTTTTTTTTGTTTTGTTTTTCAAATAGGATTACCATTAATTAAAAATGTGCATTATCTCTTAAATGTGACTTATCCTCATATTCTAATGATCTCACTAATTAATTATTTTGCATTATCTCTTTAATGTAACTTATCAACATATTCTAATTATCTCTCTAATTAATTAATTATGAATTCAGTTTGTCATCTTTCATCATTGAAGAACTACCAAGTTCGATTTTAATTCTTGACATATCCGTGATTTTTGATTATTTTACAAATTATTATAATATAAATATTAATTTAATCAAAATTTATTCAAAAATGCATGTTTGATGATTTTAACGGAATATAAATCATTAAATGTACTTGCTTCATTTATGAATAATTTCGTAAAATATTTATTTTTATTTATATAGATATAGATATCATATTTAAAATATTTGTTAAAATTTGTATTAATTTATATCTTATATAATAATGTTTTACAAATTTTCAACTACTATACATTAGGATTATAAAATTAAAAGGTCGATTTTTCACATTTTTGTGACATTGAATAATGAAAATAATTAAATTCAACTCATTTTATAAGGATAACAAATATAATAACACACATGCTTCTAATAAAATTCTTGATTGAGCGACATAGATTGAAAATAAAATTTATAAAAATCAAACCCTAAATATCTTAAATACTGCTTCTTGTTATTGTTGATGGAAAATATCACCATTTTGAGGAAAGATCCCGTCATACTTGATAACACGCGTTCTTCCATTAAGCACAAGTCTCCATATGTTAGTTATGATATCTTTCTTCCCATGATTAAATTCAATGACATAGTTGTTGATTGTGTACACCTCGCCTTCCTTCAGTAAACTTCGAAATGCTTTATGTTTAGAACGGATTATGCCTCTAATAAATGAACCCTACAATATAAATTTATAAACATGAAATAAAATATTTTTTAAAATTATATAAATTTATAAATATGTAAAAAAAATTAAAATTATATGAATTTGATATTTGTAATGAAAATTTTACCTTCTCATCATGAAACAGTATATGGAATTCGTTCCAGCTTTCCCGTTGGTGATGCGATTCAACTATTCGGACTGCTCCCAAGTGCAAAAAAGGTTTATTTGTTCTATTCACGGATTCGAGTGTATCCCATGCGGCATTATAAATTTTATGTGTTCTATTCACGTTTTTGTTATATTCTAACAGATATTGAAGCATGTGAATAAAAAAAGGATAATTTAAAGGTTGTATTTTGTTATGGACAGAATTTTAATTGAGGGATTGAGGCGTGAAAGTGAATGAGAAAAATAATTGTTTTAAAGGCTTTATGTTGTTGGTATCTACCTAAATTTAGGCGTGAATTATCTTTCAAAATTTGAATTCAACTTACTTTTAATCTCGTGTGTCTTACTAAAAAAAGCTTTCAAGAATTCTAAAAATAGAAAGTCAAACTTGTTATTTTTTGGTCAAAAATTTCTAAAAAGGTATATTCCAACAACTTTTTTATATATAGATAGATAAATATTTTGCAATTCTCCACATAGATTTGGTAATTATAATCAAAAGAAAATAATAATAATAATAATAATAATAATAATAATAATAATAATAATAATAATAATAATAATAATAATAATAATAATAATAATAATAATATTGAATTCTCAGAAGGCAACCGCTACGATTCATTCTCGGGCTTGACTAATTTTGAAGGAGAACGCGAATTTCAAAATGAATTAGTGGTAGACGTCCATGTTCGATCAAGGGGTTCGAATAATAGGGAAAGGCAACGCGGTGAGTAGCCTAAGTTGATTCTTCCCACCTTTAATGGAGCGGATCTCAATGTGTGGTTGAAACGTACTCTCCAATATTTCGAGATCGATGGCATACCCAAATCCGAAAGGTTAAATATGCCCCCTACTACATCGATGTGGAAGTGAATGTATGGTGGCAATGATTGTCGAGGATTTACTGGAAGGAAAATAGGTTGATCCGTTGGAAGACTTTCAAAAA